TCCACTTGGCTTAAAAGGTTGGTTGCCGCACTCAGCCATATTCCAGCTATATGAAGGCGGTCTGTAAATAATCAAGTCTGGACCAGACAATCCAGTGATTGATATCATTGGCATCGATCCACGCAATTGGGTGGCTTAAAAGGAATAATTATATGAATGATCGCTTAAAATCAGTGATGACAAATTGTGTTCGCGAAAAGGGTAAGCATGTCAGGCCCTGACAGTACCACCCGCCATTCACACAATTTGCATAAAGAGGCACGTGTTTGCTGGCTGACACCGGACCCGTGCAGATTCCGGGTTAGAATAGGTCTTCAGGAACCCATGCTTGTCGTAAGACACACACACACACATGACATCCCTATTTGCATGGGGTGACACAACGTACATCACGTAGGCATTCCCACATCACGTTCATGACTACCCATGACGGTCCACCTTTAGCATTCAGACGACCGTCTACCTAAAAAATATGAAGGCTACCCAAGAAAAAAACTTAATGAGTAAAACCTTTGGGAATTTTGACCTGTACCGACAATGTACCATAATTGGAAAAAAAATCCTGTTTTGTCATTTTAAAATATATCAACATTGATTTGTTTTGTTTTGTTGTTTTACACCGCACTCAGCAATATTTCAGCTATATGACGGCGGTCTGTAAATAATCGAGTCTGGACCAGACAATCCAGTGATTTACATCAAAACGTTGAAGGGAATCAAAACGTTGAAGAGAGAACTTTCGTTTCCCGTCGACTAATTGTAGAAGTTGTCGCCATTAATTGTAAAAATTAAAAAACTGACGACAGTGCACAAAATAATAATGATTGACCCCACAATATCTCATGTATATTTATATATATAATAAATAATATAGTCCACGTTAGTCCATCTTCTTTGTATCAGTTTCAGACATAGTACTTTTGCTGTCTTATGTAACTGACAATGACATATATGACGTCATAAATTACAACTGTGACGTCATAATGTATTAACACACTCCAGCGACGACACCACGTAATTTAACGATTGTAGGGAGACATTTGAATTAAAATATACAGTATTTGTAAAGTAACAGTGTAACATTTCCGATTGAAATGACAAATTTATTAATACATTCTAGAGTTCAATTTGGGTTTCATCAATTGGATAAACATTTGGTTTTTTTTCAGTCTCAGCTGCTTGTTACCTGTATACAATTTATAAAACGGAAAAATAGTAAATTTCCCGTTTCCGCAACCATCAATGTGTTTGCTGACATCTAAGCATCGAACACCAGGGTCTCTAATCTGCTGTTTGTGTACAGTGACTCTATCTTTAAATTCCATGCCGGTTTCACCGATGTAGTTTTCGCCGCAACCCGAACATCTCATAACATACACCACATCTTTTCTGCGGCAGTTCATGTCGGCTTTCACATTGAAACCCTTGCCATTTGCAAAAAGGAAAGTAGTACCTTCACTTATGATGTTACACGTACCGCATCTTGGTGTGTTACATCTACTTACACATGGTGCACTCTCTGTACAAGAATATTTGGATGGACAAAGAATTTGCTTGTGATTTTTTGGTGGCCTGGTACTTTTTATAATTTTAAATTTGTTCAGTCCTTGTTTCATTTTATAACTTTGCTGTAGAATTGGGAGGTTGTCCCTTATGACTGGCATGATACCACAATTATTAGGATTGAAGGTGGACACAAACGGTATAATTTGATCGCCCACAGATTTTTCATTAGGTTTCAGGAGAGTATGTCTCGGAGTTTTTAACGACTTTTCTATAGCGTCATTTATGACGCGAAGCGGATATCCTAGCTTCCTGAGATACCTCATCAATTCTTTCAATCTTAAGTCTCTTTTATCTGTTTCCGACACGATGGTACATACTTTCTGCGCAAGTGAATAAGGAATGTTTGTTCGTGTATGCCTGGGGTGACATCAACCGAATTGTAGGTATTGATGGGTGTCCGTTGGTTTGTAGTAGATATCAGTTTTCAATTTAGTATCTTCCTTAACTACAAGGACGTCCAGAAATGGAATTTCGCTAAACTCTATAGTAAAACTGATGGAAGGATGGAGCGTATAAATAATATCCAGACAAATGTCTAAATTGTCACGAGTTGAGAGCCAAACTAAAAAACAATCGTCCAAGAATCGCTTCCAAGTTTCGCGCACATGTTTGGCAATGGATTCTGACATGGAATCGTGTACCTTCCTGTAAAGAATATCCTCTATATAACCCATCACAAGTGTAGCGTACGTTGGAGGCATGACTACTCATTATTTTCATGACACATTTTCGGCGCGGGGTGAAAAGTAGCTCTGATTTTATTATTTAGTTTGTGGGGAAATAATCTTAATGGTTGTTGCTGAAACCAACGTTAAACGATTCTTAGTTCCTGGATTTGTTTACAATAAAGTTTCAACGCGTTTCTTTACATATCATGTTTCCAATTAATAATAGCTTGTTTATTGGACAGGACAAACGAGTTGAAATAAATCATATAGAAGGAATAAGATAACCTGTATATTGGACTGACACATTAGAATAATTGGTTTGGTTTGTTTGTTGTTTAACTCGGCAATATTCCACACATATGACGGCGTTGGTAAATAATCGAGTCTGGACCAGCCAAACGGTGATTGACATCATGAACATCTATCTACACAATTGGTATACGTTTGGGTTTCTGCTCATCATCAGAGTTGGGATTCGGGATGCGGCGCCTTGGACGACTTGACCACCCGTATGCATTGAATAATTTAGGACCTACCTAAGTGAAAAGGTATTGTATTGGAAACAGTGCTATTTTGTTACATTTAATTATTGTAGTTCAAGTAATAATTTAACAAAACAAATGTACACGCCTTTTCTTTTTCATTCCCTTACGTCATCCGTCTTATGGTGAAAAGTTAACTTGGTTCGGCTTTATTCAACTTGGAACAGGGGCGGTCGGGTAGCCTAGAGGTTAAAGCGTTCGCTCGTCACGCCGAAGACCCGCGTTCGATACCCGACATGGGTACAATGTGTAATGCCCATTTCTGGTGTCCTCCGCCGTGATATTGCTGGAATATTGCTAAAAGCGGCGTAAAATAATATCAGAGGGTAAGAAAGGCAAACACTTACATGTTTGACCGCCGTCATATAGCTGGAATATTACAGAGTGCGGCGTTAAACAACAAAGAAAGAAAGTATTAACGCATTAACTCTGATTATTGATCAAAGTAGTGTATGTTTTGCGACAGAAAAGCAAAAGCCAAAATGTTGATGTCGTTATTGTTTGTTGTTTAACGCCGCACTCGGCAATAATACAGCCTAATGACAGCGGACTGTAAATAATCGAGTATAGACCAGAGAATCTATTGATTGACAAGATGAAAAACGATGACATGCATCAACCACTCAGCAATATTCCAGCTATATGACGGCGGTCTGTAAAATAATCGAGTCTGGACCAGACAATCCAGTGATTGATATCATGAGCACCGATCCACGCAATTGGGATCGATGGCATGCATCAACCAAGTTAGCGAGCCTGACCACCCGATCCCGTTAGTCGCCTTTTACGACAGCATAGTCACCTTTTACGGCAAGCATGGGTTGCTGAAGACCTATATCGATGATCTGATATGGTTCAGTCTCCATCAAATAGACAATTCCCTACCACTGAACTAGACAAAATGGAGACCAGTGAGAACGCCTCATCTGTCTCATATTTAGATCTATGCAAGCTTCGGAGTGACAAAACACTCTCCACAAGACTGTATGACAATAGGGGTGACTTCCATCTTTAAAGGAACTTTTTTATAATATCAGTGCTCATTTAATTCTCGGATTTTTAAAAGAAATACTATTATTTGATAAATTTTGAATTGTTTTAGAATAGTTGGATATTATTGTCAACTGAGATGTATGAAGGTGGTGCCACTCAGGGAGTTAAAGCAGTGTAAAATTATGGTCCCCCTGACAGTGGCACGTGAGTCCATCTATATTGAAGTAATTAATATCAACTAGTGTTTTAATTCCTTGATTGTGTTTTGATTTTTTTAATATTGGTTAATATTTCGTACAACCACTCGTGACCAAAGTGATGGCATAAATCCTGCTGGGAATCATGCAGGAAGCAAAAGCGCTGTAAGTCCCCATGATCCCCAGTTAGGTGGTCTAGCTTTGGTTGCCAGTGGTCTATAGCCTGGTTATACTTCCTATTAAACAACTGACTGAAAACTTCTTTGTTTTAATATGGCTCAGGTTTGTTTTATGTCTACACTGTGATATTTACCTTACCGTTTTACTGTCCTTTGACGACAGGAATTGTATAATAATAAACTTGTTCTCATCGCGATATGGCTGCAATAATGGCGATGCGATGTAAAATTATAACTCACTCACACTCACACTTTCCAACAGTCAACCTTTTCTTCATGTCGACCTGCAGCTCCAGCCTTTGGGTTCAACATTTCACAACTTTTGAGGTAAAATCGAGCATGCTTCTTCTACCTGATCAAGGTTACAACATTCAAGGGTTCATCAAAGTTTTCCAAAAGTTTTATGGTAACATGTTCCCGTTTTTTAGGTGAACATTTAATTGCCTTTGCATGTGTTTGTGACGGCGGGACAGTATCACCTTTACGCGAACACCTGGTATCATCCCTATTTAATAGTGGGGCAGTCGGGTAGCCTCGTGGTTAAAGCGTTCTCTCGTCACGCCGATGACCCGTGTTAAGATTTCCGACACGGGTACAATGTATGAAGCCCATTTTTGGTGCCCCCGCCGTGATAGTGTTGGAATATTGCTAAAAGCAATGTAAATCATACTCACTCACTCACAATTTCGTAGTAAATCATAAACATCATGCCACAGTCGGAATCGTAAGTCGCTAATCAAAAATGCTTATGAATATGTTATATCGCTTTTATCAATTATCTCTATTATTTACAGACCGCCGTCATATAGCTGGAATATTGCTGAGTGCGGCGTTAACAAACTAACCAACCAACAGTATGTCTGAAGCTTTATTCACATTATTACAAACACGCACGTCGTCTTGTACCATTTTTTTGTAAAGACCTAGGTGGGCATTATCCAATGATAGATCCGTCGCATGAAGCCGGATGTGACGTGCTGTGATGCTGTGGGATAGCTGTAATACAACCGTTCAACAAGTTAGCAAAAATGTTCTTTCTGTGAACAGCAATATGAATGACAAATGTGGGTCTTATATGATTTGGTTTGGTTTGGTTTGTTGTTTTACGCCGCACTCAGCAATATTCCAGCTGTATGACGGCGGTCTGTAAATAATCGAGTCTGGAGCACACAAGTGATTGACATCATGAACATCAATCCACGCAATTGGGATCGATGACATGCATCAACCAAGTCAGCGAGCCTGACCACCCGATCCCGTTAGTCGCCTTTTACGACAAGCATAGTCGCCTTTTACGACAAGCAAGGGTTGCTGAAGACCTATTCTACCCCGGGTGTTCAAGGGTGAGGGGAAAAGACAATAGAGCTTAAATTACCTTTTGAAGCATAAAGTGACGAAAAGATTTTTTGTGAAAAAAAAGCAACAACCCAGCATAGAATATTTCAAATGTCCTCAAATGAGCAAGTTTCACGTTTTCTTTGATGGTCATAGTGTTTGTTTGTTGTTTAACGCCGCATTCAGCAATATTCCAGCCATATGACGACGGTCTGTAAATAATCAAATCTGGACCAGACAATCCAGTGATTGACATCATGAGCATCGGTCCATTGGGATCGATGACATGCATCAACCAAGTCAGCGAGCCTGACTACTCGATTCCGTTAGTCGCCTTTTACGGCAAGCATAGTCGCCTCTTACGACAAACATGGGTTGCTGAAGAACTATTCTAACCCGGATATTCACTCGTCTCATAGTGTTTGTAATAAATAGGAAGAGAACAGGTATAACTGTGTTATACCAAATATTTCTAATTTGACAGCATACGTTGAAACGGGTCACACTCTCACTACCTTTCTGCATATATCTAGGTCCCGTTGGTTGGCGTGGTCCTACATCATCTATATCGATAGGCTGGGGAACTGACTTTTGTCTGGCCCAGGAATCTGCTGAACACCGGAACCGGAAGTCATATTCACGAGGCGACCAAAAATCAGCAGGATTGGCCTTGAATCAAAATCAGTGTCATTAATATTGAACAATGCCAAAAAATGAAGCAAATTAAGGATAATTATACAGGATCACTTTATATATCTGCAATTGGTACATTTTCTGATGTACAACAAAGACGAGGGCTTACCTTGAAGTTATCATGAATGTCAAAGTATTCCTTCTTGTCAAGACCAGAGCCATGGTATTCAACGACATTCGGTCCACGCTTGTTGTAGTAGGCGTTATCGTAGATCTGATTGCCTTGATGCAAGAGACACAGTGAGTGAGTGAGTGAGGTTACACGACGCATTTAACAGAATTCAAATATTTTAGGGACACCCAAGACTGGGCTTCGCAAATTGTGGTCGTCAGCAGAATCGAACCTGGGTATTTTGTCCGCTGCACACTATGAGTGTCACTTGGGCTTGTACCCCACGTGACAACTCGTAAAGAGGGGGAAGAGGAGGTCTTCTGAAACCCACACTTGCCGTTAAAGGCGACTGTGATTGTAAGAAGCGACAAACGGGATCGGATGGTCAGGCTCGCTGACTTGATTGAGGCATATCATCGTGTCCCAGTTGCGTAGATCGATGCTCAATCACTGGTCCAGACTCGATTACTTTCAGACCGCCGCCATATAGCTGGAATACTGATGAGTGCGGCGTTAAACAGCAAACAAACAGACAAACAAACATTGTAAAACCTGACACCCCCCGCTTGTGACACATGTAACGAATTTATCATTTTTGTTCATAAGTAGAGAGACTTATTTTCGGTGAAATATGTTTTGTTACACCCGTGCTCGTGGGTTTCACCGAAGTGGTAAACGTCTGAGGCCTGCATCACTTCGGGCTTTCCTCCCACATTAAGCTGACACGCCGCGATATGACTGGAATACTGTTAAAAGCGGCGTTAAACCCAACTCACTCACTCACTCAAAATATAAACAGGATCAATGATGACGTGACAAGTGGATGACGTCATGATGTCCGTATAGGCTAGCCGACCGTGTGCTTTTTTTTACAAGAATGATTTAATCAGATAGCTAGATATTCTTAGATGTAATAATAAAGATGTAGGTAAATAAGTCCATCATTTCTCACTCTCCCAACCCAACAACAGAGTTATTCAGAGAGTGGATTCTTTTAAATGCTTTTGATGAAAATAAGCCTTATGTTTAATTCTATTCATTAGAGACAATAGTTAGTTAAGTTGGGTTCCAGTAGGAATAAGTGCCAAGGTTATGAACAATTTTGCATAATTATCTGAACAAATGAGATTATGAGCAACAAAATTGTATGTAACTGACAATGACAAAGTCAAATAAATTTGTATCTTTGAAACGTTAAGTGGATGGTTATCGCTGTGGCTAGGGAAAAGAAAACAATTCTATATATACAATCATTAGCATGACACATTATTGGAATGACCAGGGATAAAGTAGGAGTAATACCTCATCAATGAGGGTTTCTTTCTTACCCATAGGTGCCATAGGTTGATTGGACTTGATGGAGGCCAGTTTGGGGTACTTGTCTGACCACGGCTTGCTTGTGTAGGGATAGGACTGAAAGACCAAGTCTGAGATCCGCGACTTCTCTTTGGTTGTTTGATGATGGTTTGTTGTTTTACGCCGCACTCAGCAATATTCCAGCTATATGACGGCGGTCTGTTAATAATCGAGTCTGGACCAGACAATCCAGTGATTGACATCATGAGCATCGATCCACGCAATTTGGATACGATGACATGCATCAACAAAGTCAGCGAGCATGATGACCTGATCCCGTTAGTCGCCTTTTACGACATGCATAGTCGTCTTTTACGGCAAGCATGGGTTGCTGAAGACCTATGCATACTATTTCTTAAAACAATTTATGAAACATATTTGAGCATAACAATATAATACAGTTTTAAAACACGGGCTATAGGTGACCAGTAACCAAAGCTTGGTCACCTCATGGAGGCTTACAGTACCTCGGCTTCCTGCATGATACCCCAGCAGGATTTACGTCATCACTTTAGCTACTGGTGGTTGTGCACAATAGTAGCCAATATTAAAACATACTGGTTGACATCGATTATAATAGGATGACGTGTCACACAGGGGGACACTATTTTTACGCTACGTTAACCCCCTGGACAGAGCCTTCAATAATGTCAGTTGCTAATAGCATCACACCAAATTGAAAAACAAGCATTTATTTATTCACATACATATTTAAAAATTATTACGGAGACCTATTTCTTTCAAATAGCTGATAATAAGATGTCTGCTGACACGGGAAAATATATCTTTAAGAATTACGCTTGGATAATGTGAATCCCTTGCGATTGCAAAGTCCACACAGTCAAGCAATATATGCTTGACGGTGAACCTTTCATCACAAGGGATACACTTAGGAGGTTCGTCCTCATCTGTCTTAAGCAGATATTCGTGTGTAAAACGGCTGTGGCCAATACGACATCGTCGTTAAACGACCTCGTCATGATGTGGGATGTGAAGGGACATTGCTATCATTACCTTTATAGTGTTAAAGAGCGTCGCCTGGTTGCTATTGTGATTGAGACCACGGCCGTCCACGTTGATGGGGTAGTTGACGGCATCGTAGAAGACGTTGTAGCGTATGATGTTGTCACGGCCACCCCCAATGTTGACGTGGTATTGGTTCTATAATGAAATGAAATGTTTTGTTTATTATTATTATTATTATTATTTACAGATTAAAATGAAAAAGGAGGAAAGAAGGTTTGGGTCATCCAGCCAAGACAGCGAATGGAACTTCTCTCAGGAAGCGCTGCCTCGTCGAACCCACCCAGAACTCTTCGGAGAATGTGAAGACTCCCCAACACTGCAGCCTTCTGCAGATTGTCAGAAGGGTTGTATTCCACAGATTAGGCGGTACGAAAACTTCAGGCACCAAGAACAATGGGGTGTCGGACAACTTGGTACTTGGGATGCAAGCGTGAAATTTCGACAGGTCAGCCATGATATGCCTGAATCTTGTCAATGACATTGGTGTCAAAAGGGACAGAAAATCCAATAATATACTCTTCAAAAAAAGGAACTTGACACTGACTTTCAAAATGTAATATAATGCGATTGTTTCAAAATAGGACACAGAAACCATAATTGAAACACTGTTTGAAGATCAATGTACACAATGTTCAAAACATTAATCGTGTCACCTAGACAGACACACGTACACGATACAGTTAATGTCACAGTGGTACAGAAAATGTATCGGTTGTGCCCACCACGTGCATCAATCACCGCTTGACACCGATGACCCATAGATGCAATCAAGTTGTCAATAACACGCTGTTGGATGTGTTGCCATTCATGCTGAAGTGCATCAAGAAGCGCCGGAAGTGTTTGGGGCGGTGGATTCCTTCTGCGAACGCATCGATCCAACTCGTCTCACAGATGCTCAATCGGGGACAAATCTGGTGACCGGGCTGGCCAAGGTAATGTCTGGATGTTGTTGTGCTGTAAGAAGTCCTGACAAACACGTGCAATATGCGGTCGAGCGTTGTCCTGCTGGAACTGTCCGCCATGAACGTTGACGTGAGGAAGAACGTAAGGCTGTAGGATCAAGTCTCTGTAACGCACACCTGTCAATGCACCTGCCACATGCAGGCGTCCTACCACCGTGACACTCCCGCCGCCAAATGGGACAACCTGCTGCACACAGTGGGGGGCGTAACGTTCACCCTGACGTCTGTAGACTCGTGCGCGCCCATCAGCACGAGTGAGTAGGAAACGGGACTCATCAGGAACCAGTACATTTCTCCACCTTGCACGTGCCCATCTATACCTCTTTTGGCACCAAAGGAGACGGTCCGCCAGATTACGTGGTGTCAATACATGACGTCGAACAGATCTTCGTGCAAAAAGTCCAGCCTCCCTCAGTCTGTTGCGTACCGTTTGATCTGATATTCTGCGTACCCCGGGATCTGTGTGGTTGTACACGTGGCTGTGGTAGTGCGGTCTCGGAGGTGTCGCAGCCGGATGTATTGATCTTGTGCTTGGGTTGTCACCCTTGGTCTGTCGTCAACTATGTTGGTGTTGTTGTATCGGGTCCACAGTGCGGAGATTATCTGTCTGGATACGCCAAAGTGCCTGGCCACTTCTTGCTGAGTTGCTCCAGCTTGTAATCTCCCAATGGCGTTGTTCCGTTGAGCTGCATTCAGTCTTGGCATTCTGTCACCGCCTCTACTGCCGTTTTAAGGACTGTATGAACAGCCGTTGATGTGGATTTTTATACCCATTCAGCAGGGGGGCCTGCATGCCTAAATGCAGGATCCTGTGCTGCACGTTTTTTTACAGGCGGTTGCGTTTGGATGAAGCTGTAAAACTGCGCTATGTTTATGTGCTTTGCATGTGTTTTCGCGAATTATAGACACATCCTCTTTCTGTTTGACTTATTTGGTTCTCATTTAATGAAATTATTTTTGATATTTGGCAAAAAGTGGTTTTACATCTATGTCAAGTTTCTTTTTTTGAAGAGCATATAATGATTTCATTGGATTTATCAAAAAAGGACAAGATGAGCGGGTTTGTTGGCCTGGATACGTCTGAGGCTGTAAACGGGCCTATTCCAAAGAATTTTGTATTAACATTTTCCATGACGCCCTCTACATATTCTGGATCGTACCATGGATGGACCTCTGTTTCAAAACCACAAGCATGACGGAGACGGTAATAAAATGATCGAGCCACTCCATCATGTCGCTTAAGAAACTGTGTTTGTGCCAAAGCTGGGCATCCACTGACCATGTGTTGGACAGTCTCATTAAATTCATTACACAATCTAAATTTCATATTTCCATTTTGATGCAAAATCACACATTGACGGTTTCGAGTGGGAAGTGACTGGTCCTGAGCAGCAAACAGAAAGCGTTTTGTGTCACTTTTCAGGCCAGTCGACCTCTACCAAGCGAAGGACTCTTCAGGGTTGCTGACCTTCTCAACACACTGCACATAAACTCGATGCAGTGGTGGTTCAGATAGCCTCTCCTGGAAAAAACTGAGTCTGGGCCCATTTCATATGGCACTTCGCTTGGTTGACACTCATTTCTGTACCGTCCAGCAGTACAGAACTATCAACTTGATAAACACTGACATTGAGATTATGTCCAACATCCTAGGCTCTTTTCAGAAAACTGTGGAATGCCTTGTTTTCATCATGGGTCTTGATATGCTTCACGGATCATCAAACAAATAAATGTGTGCAAAAGTGCACAAAACAAAGTAGTAGTAGTAGTAGTAGTAGTAATAGTAGTAGTAGTAGTAGCATGAATGAATGATAAATGTCTACCTGGAAGAAGACGTTGTGCTCGATGGTGACGCTGGAGTACTGGTCGTCCAGCATGATGCCTCTGTTCTCTGCCCCCGGCATGTTCTTCACAACGTTGTGGATGTAGTTGTATCGTATCACGTTGCCACGCTGCAGATAAAATCGTATAAGCGCAACCATGGTTTTTTTCAGTTACATCATTATCATGAAAAGAGATTCATGGAAATGTCGTTGTGAAAAAACCTGCTAACCACGACCCTCATGTTTTGGTGCTCAGGGATTACACCCGGGTAATCAGGAGACACGAAAAAATATAGAAATTCTTTACAGGCATACAAGGTAATAATTAGAATATTTGGGTGGCAATTACTTTCTCATTTGAAAAAAACAAAAACAATTTGTCATATGTAAGAGATGTATTGTGTTACTCACTGCGGCCCAGTCTCTGCCAGAATGCACTGCACCACAATCAGTGCTGTTCGCACACATATGGTGAATGTGGTTGTACTCCATCATGTTGTCGTTACCCTGGCAACCAGAACCTAGTTTATAAACTGCCACCTACGATGCACCGTGTGTGAGCGGAGCAATTAATGATTACAATATCTGCACAGAAACTTACGACAATGTCTAGATCAAGACGAAAACATGTTTGATAATTGTTGAGCATAGTCCCTCATTAATCACACTGACTCTAGACACATACCACATCGTGTTTTGTGGCAGTGAGATGAAAGAGATAGAACTTTTTCCATAATCATACGAAATCTCTGTTAAAAGTAGCGAATCGTGTATGCTTTTTATAACCCCGTTTACGAAGTAAATCGGGGGTATGTAGCGTTCCGCTGTCCGTCCTTCCGTCCGAGCTTTTGTACGGCCCATAACTTTTTAACCATGCACCCTAGCTTCACCAAACTTTCTACACACATTAAACACAGTGAGTACTTCTGCCGTTTGCTAGTTTGAAGATTCTGAATTTTTTAATTTTTGCCGTTTCCATGGAAACATTTATTTAGAAACTTAAACTTTTTGTTTCGGTTTTTTGTACGGCCCATAACTTTTTAACCATGCACCCTAGCTTCGCCAAAGGTGCTACACACATTTACCGCAATGAGTACTTGTGCCTTTTGCTAGTTTGAAGATTCTGAACTTTTTAATTTTTGCCGTTTCCATGGAAACATTAAGAAACTTAAACTTTTAGGCTGGGTGTTTTGTACGGCCCATAACTTTTTAACTATGCACCCTAGCTTCACCAAACTTTCTACACACATTTACCGCAGTGAGTACTTGTGCTGTTTGCTAGTTTGAAGATTCTGAATTATTTAATTTTTGCCGTTCCCATGGAAACATTAGAAACTTAAACTTTTTGTTTGGGTGTTTTGTACGGCCCATAACTTTTTAACCATGCACCCTAGCTTCACCAAACGTGCTACACACATTTACCGCAATGAGTACTTGTGCCTTTTGCTAGTTTGAAGATTCTGAATTTTTTAATTTTTGTCGTTTCCATGGAATCATGGTGAAACATAAATTTTTGGTAGAGTTTTTGTACGATCCATGTTTACAATATTATGTACTTTAGATTCAGCAAACTTGCTACATTAACCACTATGATTGTTTTTTTATCTTCTATAAGATTCTGAAAGTTTTCTCTTTTGCTGTCATGGAAACATGATGGAATTTAGAAATTTTGATGACTGGTTTTGTGTGGCTGATATATTTTCCAAAATTGTTTCCACACATGTAGATCGTCATAAGTATCTGTGCTTTGTGTTAGTTTGAATTTATGAATTCTTTACCATATCTGTTAAGGCTAGATGGAAATGATTAATTTATTGATTTTCTTATATGATATTTTTTTCCATTTCTTAATGTGGTTTTATATCAACAAGTTTTGGTCCTTTTGATAATTCTTCTTATGTAACTCCTCAATCAAATTTTTATTCAAAGGTGTTCATGGTGATCTACTTCCTCGTAGTGAACACTGGTAGCATGGGTGATTGTCACTGGAACTTAGTTTTTAAAACATTCAAGTTAAAATCAGTTAGAAATATGAAATATTTCATTAATTAACAAACTATTTACTATTTGTTGTTGACCAGCGGGGATAACGGGAGTATGTGAGCTTTGCTCACTTCTTTTTTGTTGGTTACAGCGACGAGTGGTTGGTTGGTTGGTTGGTTTGTTGTTTAACGCCGCACTCAGCAATATTCCAGCTATATGACGGCGGTGAATAATCCAACATGGACCAGACAATCCAGTGATTAATATCATGAACATCGATCCGCGCAATTGGGATTGATGACATACATCAACCAATCATACGAACCTGAGGATGTAAAACGTGAAAAGAAAAGAAAGTTAATGAAGTAGAATAAAGACGATATAGGCAAAAGGACAGAAACCAAGTACCAAGTTTCAGTAACATTATGCGAGTATGCTGGATGTTTGAGTTTATTTACTATTTGTTGTTGACCAGCGGGGATAACGGGGGTATGTGAGCTTTGCTCACTTCTTTTTTGTTGGTTACAGCGACGAGTGGTTGGTTGGTTGGTTGGTTTGTTGTTTAACGCCGCACTCAGCAATATTCCAGCTATATGACGGCGGTCTGTGAATAATCCAACATGGACCAGACAATCCAGTGATTAATATCATGAACATCGATCCACGCAATTGGGATTGATGACATACATCAACCAAGTCAGCGAGTCTGACCATCCGATCCCGTTAGTCGTCTTTTACGACAAGCATAGTCACCATTTACGGCAAGCATGGGTTGCTGAAGACCTATTCTACTCCGGATCTTCACGGACCTATTGCCTTTAGAAGGTTTAATGTAGGGTTTCAAGTGAAAGATCATTTGCGAGGTTGTTTTTGATACACGCAAACAAGATTTTGATGATGCCGATAGACATACCCCCCACATCAATCCTGTGTATTGGCCGTCGTGCAGGTGGTTGTAACGGACCACGTTGCCAACGCCGCCGATAGAAACCGCGTTGTAACCAACGCCCCCGACACGGGCAAACTTCCAAATATGATTGTCTTCGACCACGTTGCCAGAGGGCGTTAACTTCTTCCGATCTCCACCTGTATACAAAACAAAGGAATATGTTCACAGTGATACTGAAATTCCTCTAATAGATCCCCCAATTGGGATCGATGACATGTATCAACCAAGTCAGCGAGCCTGACCACCCGATCCCGTTAGTCGCCTTTTACGACAAGCATAGTCGCCTTTTATGGCAAGCATGGGTTGCTGAAGACCTATTCTACCCCGGATCTTCACGGGTCCTACATCCTACGACATATTTAAGTTTATATAGATAATAAAGAATTAAACGAGTATTTTTTTTTGCCGCTGTTAGTAGAATTCTAGCAGTGTCATGCAGGGGCGCCAGAAATAGACGTCACACATTTTACCCATGTTGGAATCGAACCCGGCTCTCCGACGTGATGCGCTTGTCTGACCACGAGGCTAACTCACCACCCCCTTAAGAGTTTGGATATTTTACTATTTTGAGTTGTATAGTTACCGCTGACGGCGACGCCTCCGTTGGTGTAATGGACGTCACACCGGGATACTGTGACATGGCTACTTCCGGGAAAATGGACGCCATACGAACCTGAGGATGTAAAACGTGAAAAGAAAAGAAAGTTAATGAAGTAGAATAAAGACGATATAGGCAAAAGGACAGAAACCAAGTACCAAGTTTCAGTAACATTATGCGAGTATGCTGGATGTTTGAGTTGACTCGGGTATTGTCATTATACATATATATTCACTTATACTCGCTGTAATGTCTCACCCATATTCTTTATTTCCATGTTCTGAACGTGGATGTTGTGTAGATTGCTTCCCGTGATGCCCTCGTGGCGACACGCCTCCAAAGTAAACCCCTCGAAATTGAGGTTTCCCACTCCTTGAGCCATGCTGCGAGAGAAGGAAGATAAACGTGGTATATTGACATTTTGACATTCTTGATCGAGCTGGATTGAAAATCGAATCAAATCGAAAACTTACGAATATCGAAAATTTGCTGAAAGAGATTCCATGAGGTGTAAATGGCAAATTAGAGATTAAACTTATATGGATGCATTATTCGTCATTATTATATGAATGAAATCAGTATTTGCTCAATAAAATACAGACCCGTGAAGATCCGGGGTAGAGTAGGTCTTCAGCAACCCATGATTGTCTTGTCCAGACTCGATAATTTACAGACCGCCGTCATATAGCTAGAATATTGCTGAGTGCGGCATAAAACACAAACCAACCAACCATAATGTACAACGTTTCTTCATATTTAAGTCTGCACTGATAATTAATTCATGACTATTGGATTAAGAAAAGTTGAATTTTATTGCTATTTCTTCTGCCATTGGATACTGTTTTGAGCGTGTTTATTGTTTTGAGACTGTTTCACAACCTTTTCATAATTGTTGTAAGACTGATAAAGAAACACGTACCTGATGCAGTCGTTGATGAGGGACACGGTGATGATGTCAGAGGAGGCCAAGGTGCCGGTCCTTGTGTTGGGCCATATGTACAGGTTGCCATTGGATCGGTCCAGATAGTACTCTCCCTGTAGAGGAGGATAATACGAGGCATAATTTGACGAGATAATGATTTCGGACAATCACTTGAAAAAGGTGTTTTCCTACATCGAGTGCGTCAAGACTAAAGGATCTATATATGACTGGCTGCTGTAAGTTACAATAAACAATATTTTCAATAGAGGCTCGCGTAGGGGGAGGAAGGGAAAGAGGAAGTTTTTTCTCACCGGCTGATCCAGCTCTGAGAGCATGTTGAATACCCGGAAGTAACCACCCTGATTGTCAGCATAGGCCAGATGGGCAGGGTTGTAATGACCTGGACATAATCGGAATATTTCTTTATGTCTAAGTCCAGGAATGAGCCAGTAGAATTGTACAAAAAATAATTATGAGTCCACAATATTAAAAGTGACAGGTGGAACTATTCTGAAGAATATTTTGGACTGAATTTGCGTCCCCTATGTCCATTATATCTATCTGCCCACTATATCTTATAGATAGACATGATGTTTTGGATATGGTGTATGTTAAGAGCGAAGACCAAACCCTTGATCTGATCAGTATCATTGTAATAATATCTTTTTCTGAGGGGAACAGTAAAACAAGTAAATCAACACATATACTTAGTTTATATAAGGCAAAGTTCAGTTCACTAGCTGACTTACAAACATTTAAACATTCACTTTAGTTCTGTTTCTGAAACAAAAATACAACTCTGATGATGTCTAAATCTTTCTAAGTCGTGCATGAATAGATTAAGAGTGTTCCATCTGTCCATAGAAACTTTAAAGTTTCAGTTGGGAGGCATCAAGGACATACAGACATGCTATTTCCCCCCGAATGAAAATGAAGAAATCAGAACATAGATCTTCTGTTTAAAACGCACAGGCAGTGACCATTAGCCTGCTCAACCACCACTGAGAGACAAATATGGAACAGTACGCTTTATCTTTGAAGGCAACTGAGGGCTACCTGGAGATTTACAAAACTGACAGACATGTCAGGGAGATGTCACTCACCGAACATTTTGATTGAAGGACAAAATATATAATAATGCGCCGAGGATTAAAACGTCCCAGATCTCAACTCTACTGACCTACTCTGAGTCCATAGTGTGTGTCAGTTGCCAGTGTGATCTGATGTTTGTGTGTGTCGATGTGGCTGATACTGGCAGCATCGTCCGCCCAGCTGTAATACCTGTACAAACAGCAACATTGGTTATTCTATCTACTGAGATATAACACTTTATACTTCGGTGAATTCATTTGAGGTTGTAAATTCGTTTAACTTTGAAAATGTTACACAACGCACACAACGCAACGCAACGGAACACGTCTTATCAAGCACTGGCCCATTCTTTGACATGTGGGGGGCACGGGGGGCCCAGTCGCCTAAGGCGCCGCGATTCGCTGTGCAGAGTTGCGTCTCTTGTGCAAGCCAGAAACCTATGGTTGTTGGTTCGAATCCCGGTTCGCCCCGATTAGGTTTCTAGTTTTGTCAGCACCATACCCGTGATCGTGGGTTTCACTAAAGTGGTAAACGTCTCAGACCTGCATCACTTGGGGCTTTCCTCCCACTTTAAGCTGACACGCCGCGATATAACTGGAATACTGTTAAAAGCGGCGTTAAACCCAACTCACTCACTCACTCACACACTCACTCACTTTGACATGTCATAGCAGTGCCTCACCCGAGACTCAATTTGACCACAGCCCATCTAATCCTATCCTATCCAATTCACATCCAGTCCGGACTCGCAATAACGGAATTTAAATTTTATCCATAACTACATTGACTCCAAAACACATTTGTCTTTTAGTTTGCCCATTATTGCTTTATAAGTATTTCTGTAGGTTACCAGAAGCCGTAAGCCCATGGTTCCTTCTCGTGCACCCATCTGGAGTCTTCGGACGTGCTGTAGGTGAAGACCTTGCCACGCCTGCCACCAGGAACAGAGTCGACGTTCAGGAATTTCTGAAAGACATAAGAATGTGTCCCGTACATTTTGAGTTATTGCCCGAGAAACTATGTTCAATGTTTAATTTCGAGGTGTGCATATCAAAGCATTCAATATTTATATGTGCATTACTAGCGATACGATTTAAACTGCTTCAGGGTAGATACCATACGGTTCATGCTACATGTTTCACCTTAATTGTCGAAACTAGCTTTTCAAGCTAAGATTTATCAAAGTCTTCAACAATCCTGAAAATATCCCCTGCACGCAAAACATATTTTAGAAATTCAAACATGAATCAAAAACTTTCATCCTGCTTCTTTATGTATATAGACTTTAAATGGCATTGTTGTCATTGAGCATGTTTTTCCTTCAATGTGTTGTGACAATTGATATGGATACAGGGGGCATGCGTTTTATAGGATCCTACGCCGATCTGGATCACATACTCAGTAGGGAACTTGTCAATGATCAAACTGTTTCATCTCTCTCTGGATCTCATACTCAGTAGGGGCGGTCGGGTAGCCTAGTGGTTAAAGCGTTCGCTCGTCACGCCGAAGACCCGGGTTCGATTTCCCGACATGGGTACAATGTGTGAAGCCCATTTCTGGTGTCCCCCGCCGTGATATTGCTGGAATATTGCTAAAAGTGGCGTAAAACCATACTCACTCACTCACTCATACTCAGTAGGGAACTGGATCAAACTGTTTCATCGCTCTTTCTCTAATATTGGTACTGGACCAAGTCTTGCTGTCTTGTTCTTCCTTCCTTATACGGTACTTGGCCAATACAGACTGCTGGGCAAAAGAACGTATAACTTGACAATTCACACTCCACTGTAATCCTAACTGTGGTGAGATACTCATTGATAGGATGCATGCACTATCGCCAATGATACCCGTGTCAAATACATAACCGTCGATTTACCATTTCTTGTCTGTTTCCTTTTTGGTCACCATTAAACATGGGTGGATACTTTCTTTTGCCCAGCAGTTTAGCTCCTCCTTCCTACCTCATTAGGGTAGTGTGACATTCTTCTCCCCGTTTCTACCTCATTAGTGTAACGGGCCAAATCTGGCCCTCCCGTCTTACATTATTAGGGTAGTGGGCCCCCCTAGCTGTTTATCCCTTCCTACCTCATTTGGGTACTGGGCCAATCTGGCTCTACCTTCCTACCTCATTAGGGTACTGTGCCATTCGTATCCAGCTTTCTACCTCATTAGGGGTACTGGGTCAATCTGGCTCTACCTTCCTACCTCATTAGGGTACTGTGCCATTCGTATCCCACTTCCTACCTCATTAGGGTACTGGGCCAGCCTAGCTGTTTGTCCGTTCCTACCTCATTAGGGTACTGGGTCAATCTGGCTCTCCCTTCCTACCTCATTAGGGTACTTGGTCAATCTGGCTCTACCTTCCTACCTCATTAGGGTACTGGGCCAATGTGGCTCTACCTTCCTACCTCATTAGGGTACTTGGTCAATCTGGCTCTACCTTCCTACCTCATTAGGGTACTGGGCCAATGTGGCTCTACCTTCCTACCTCATTAGGGTACTTGGCCAATGTGGCTCTACCTTCCTACCTAATTTGGGTACTGTGCCATTCGTATCCCACTTCCTACCTCATTAGGGTACTGGGCCAGCCTAGCTGTTTGTCCGTTCCTACCTCATTAGGGTACTGGGCCAATGTGGCTCTCCCTTCCTACCTCATTAGGGTACTGGGCCAATGTGGCTCTCCCTTCCTACCTCATTAGGGTACTGGGCCAATGTGGCTCTCCCTTCCTACCTCATTAGGGTACTGGGCCAATCTGGCTCTACCTTCCTTCCTCATTAGGGTACTGGGCCAATCTGGCTCTACCTTCCTTCCTCATTAGGGTACTGGGCCTATGTGGCTCTACCTTCCCACCTCATTAGGGTACTGGGCCAATCTGGCTCTACCTTCCTTCCTAATTAGAGTACTGGGCCAATCTGGCTCTACCTTCCTACCTCATTAGGGTACTGGGCCTATGTGGCTCTACCTTCCTACCTCATTAGGGTACTTGGCCAATCTGGCTCTACCTTCCTACCTCATTAGGGTACTGGGCCAATGTGGCTCTACCTTCCTACCTCATTAGGGTACTGGGCCAATGTGGCTGTCCCTTCCTACCTCATTAGGGTACTGGGCCAATCTGGCTCTACCTTCCTACCTCATTAGGGTACTGGGCCAATGTGGCTCTTCCTTCCTACCTCATTAGGGTACTGGGCCAATCTGGCTGGCTCCCCGTTGATGAAGATTTCCAGCCAAGAGGTCCTGGAACGGTAGAAGCCAAAGTTGGACATCTTGCCGTAGTCGGTGACGCCTGCACTAGGTAGGTGCAACTGCATCACCTGAAATAGAATAGAGGAACTTGAGCAGAGTACCACATACCAGTTAATCAGACCTTCCGAATTAAGTTAAGTTAAGTTAAGTAAGTGACACATAACTGAAGTTTGAACGCTATTACAATTATACAGTGCTGTGTAAATTCAATGTCTGTTGAAATTCCAGGGAATGTCGTTATTTAACCCACAGGTTGAGGCTTAAAAACCAACACAGTTTCCACCAGAAGCCACGTCGAGTTGATCTTAGCAAATAGGTCGCAACTCAACTGGGATTACTGTGAACATATTGTCCCTCCGTTTGTTTGACTTAACGAAGAGCAAAATTTGTTTCAACCACATCTGGCAAAAACATTTTGCGTCAGATTTCACACAGACACACACACATGCTCACTATTCGTTGTGAGTCCTAAACATTAAATGTCTCCTCTGTTCAGAAAAAAACATGGTCTATGTACTTACGTAACCACTTTCCTGACAGCGTCTATCATACAGCGTCATATAAATGCTGCTGATAATTTTCAGCATCCAGCTCACTGAGATAATCAGTTCTAAGTACAAAATGCCACAATGGTTATGATCAGTACGTAAACGGACATGGCTAGACAGGTATATTTACCTTTGACCTTGAATTTGATGGCAGCATATTCAGCACGTTGCTGTCTGTCACGTGGGTAAACAGGTTTGCTGGGATCTGCTTGCCTCCTGTCTGGTGACATCATAACAGGTAGTATTTTTGAAAAAATCCTTATTGAGTTATGTTTGTTATTGGTGTTATTATACAACGTTATTAATTTACATAAATGTACCGTAGGTATTATTGTTGATTGTTCATCATGTTTGGTGTTTGGTGAAGGGAAACTGTTTTGTTAACTTTGATTCTGAAAATTGTAATTGATAATGTTAATTTGTTCATTAAACCTTGAATCTGCAACCGCTAACCTGGGTAACTAATATAGCGTTAGGTTAAGGACGTCTATAATAGCTATGTGGACACTCCCCCCTCTGATCTGCCTACTCACCACTCGGACCTGCCTACTCACCACATGAATCTCCACACTCATTACATGTGCCCCACCAATCACCACGTGAAACTATCCACTCGCCACTTGGACCCTCCAGTTTCCAGGTGGACCTCCTCACTCATCACTTTGACCTCTCCACCTTTCTCGTGGACCTCCCCACACATTACTTGGACCTCCCCACCTCCCGTCTAGTGAACTTGTCCAGTCACCACTTAAACCTCCCCATTCGTCCAGTGGACCTCTCCACGCAATACTTGGACCATCATTAATGTACTGGACGTACCCGCTCACCACGCGGACCTCCCCACTCCCCACATGTGTCTCTACTCACCACGCGGACCTCCCCACTCCCCACATGTGTCTCTACTCACCACGCGGACCTCCCCACTCCCCACATGTGTCTCTACTCACCACGCGGACCTCCCCACTCCCCACATGTGTCTCTACTCACCACGCGGACCTCCCCACTCCCCACGTGTGTCTCTACTCACCATGCGGACCTCCCAATAACCACGCAGACCTCCCCACTCAGCACGTGTACCCCCACTCACCATGCGGACCTCCCCACTCCCCACATGTATCTCTACTCACCACGCGGACCTCCCCACTCAGCACGTGTGCCCCCACTCACCACGTGGACCTCCTGGTCCTGGTAGGCTCTGAAGGTGACAGGCTGGGAGTAGGCGTGGGTGAAGTGTAGGGTGGACTGCAGGTTGTGGTAGCCTCCCATCAGCTCCACGTACACCGCTATAGGGAATAAGAAGGTGTGGAAGGAATCAAGTTAGCACCACGTATATATCAATCCTTATATCTCATTCCAAACAAAGAAAACATCTAAAACCTATCCTCACTAACAAATGTTGACAACATTGTCATGAGTATAGATAATAGTAATATGAACGTGACGGGAGAAGGCACTCACTGATGTCCATGAGTGTAGATAACAACATTCTGAAAGGTGAGCTGCAGAACCTACTCACTGTTGTCCTTGATCCCACTGCTGTCCAGTAACTGCCTGGCCTTGTCCAGGGTGGCAACCGGGTGGGAGGCATCCAACCTGGTTACATTAACACAGTTAGTGGATACTGGATGGGGGTGGGGTGTGTACTAAACAGGTGTATGTAATGAGGAGAGGGCTTGTTTGTTGGCATTTAAACTGATGAGTATCTTTACACTAGATGGGGGCACGTGTGGCCCAGTCGTCTGAGGCGCCGCGATTCGTTGTGCAGGGTTGCTTCCCTTGGGCACGCCAGAAACCCATGATTGTGGGTTCGAATCCCGGCTCGCCCCGATTATGTTTCTATGTTTGTCAGCACAATACCCGTGCTGAAGTGGTAAACGTCTAATACCTGCATCACTTCGGGCTTAACTCCCACATTAAGCTGACACGCCGCGATATAACTGGAATATTGTTAAAAAGCGGCGTTAAACCTAGCTCACTCACTCACACTTACACTAGATTGGTAGATCTGGTTATGGTCACATATGAATTATTTTATGTTTCTCGTCAAACAATGTACACTTCTGATGAAAGGGACAAATGCACAGTCCTTTCAGGAAAGGCGTTATTCTGTCATTGGACTGTATGGTCCACTATCTCTGGATTGTCTGGTCCACTATCTCTGGATTGTCTGGTCCACTATCTCTGGATTGTCTGGTCTTTTATCTATGGATTGTCTGGTCCTCTATCTCTGGATTGTATATCTCCGGATCGTTTGGTCCACTATCTCTGGATTGTCGGGTCCACCACCTCTGGATTGTCTGGTCCACCACTTCTGGATTGTCTGGTCCACTATCACTGGATTGTCTGGTCCACTATCTCTGGATTGTCGGGTCCACCACCTCTGGATTGTCTGGTCCACGATCTCTGGATTGTCTGGTCCACTATCTCTGGATTGACTTGTCCACTATCTCTGGATTGTCTGGTCCACTATCTCTGGGATGTCTGGTCCACTATCTCTGGATTTTTCGTCCACTATCTCTGGATTGTCTGGTCCACTATCTGTGGATTGTCGGGTCCACCACCTCTGGATCGTCTGGTCAACTATCTATGGATTGTCTGGTCCACTATCTCTGGATTGTCTGGTCCCTTTCTCTGGATTGTCTGGTCCACCCACTATCTCTGGATTGTCTGGTCAGGACTTGATTGTGTCATGGCAGGAGCACTACTAGCGGACACCTGGTATCATCAGTGACTTTCAGTGATCCATGTGGGGCGGTCGGGTAGCCTAGTGGTTAAAGCGTTCGCTCGTCCCGCCGAAGACCTGGGTTCAATTACCGACATGGGTACAATGTGTGAAGCCCATTTCTGGTGTCCCCCGCCGTGATATTGCTGGAATATTGCTAAAAGCGGCGTAAAACCATACTCACTCACTCACTCACTCACTCAGTGATCCATGCACCACTATTTTGCCTTCTTTACATGCAGTGGATGCTAATAATCGAGACTGGTTATTCTCTGGCGTTGACATTTATATTATCTTGAGGTTTGTATTACGACCATGACCCGTGAAGATCCGGGGCAGAATTGGTCTTCAGCAACCCATACTTGCCGTAAAAGGCGACTATGCTTGTCGTAAAAGGCGACTAACGGGATCGGGGGGTCAGGCTCGCTGACTTGGTTGATACATGTCATCGATCCCAATTGCGTGGATCGATGCTCATGATGTCAATCACTGGATAGTCTGGTCCAGACTCGATTATTTTACAGACCGCCGTCATATAGCTGGAATATTGCTGAGTGCGGCGTTAAACATCAAACAAACAAACAAACAAACAAACAAACAAATATATTCAACAATTGTTTGTGGCTTATACCTCGAAACCATCCTCGCCACATAAACATAATTTCATATTAAAATTACAATTTGAATTTGAATATGATATTGACATTGTAATTATAAAACTCTAGGTTCCTCTGTGTCAGTTTCTGACAAAGAACAACATACGTGAGTGCTTACCCCGAGTTCCCGTCTGAGCCCTTGGGGCTGACGTAGATGTGGACTGTCTTGGAGTGACCCAGGGGCAACAACAGCCCCAGACACAGAGCGACTACCCACGTCATTGTTTGGTTTCAAGTGGTACAGTGTTGGAGGTTATAATAGTTCTAAGGAGTACATAGACAGCTCGATATAGACGGGAACCAACAGCTTGAGAGCTTGGCCTTGAGCCAGATAGGGATCAGAAAGTATTTTTACTGGTTTGGTTTGGTTTGGTTTGGTTGGTTGTTTAACGCCGCACTCAGCAATATTCCAGCTATATGACGGCAGTCTGTAAATAATCGAGTCTGGACCAGACAATCCAGTGATTGACACCATGAGCATCGATCCACGCATTCGGTATACGATGACATGTATCAACCAGGTCAGCGAGCCTGACTACCCGATCCCGAAAGTCGCCTCTTTCGACAAGCATGGTTTGCTGAAGACCTCTTCTACCTCGGATCTTCACGGGTCAGAGAGATTTAGACATTATCAGAGTTGTGTTTTTGTTTCAGCAACAGAACAAAAATGAATGTTTCAATGTTTTGTCAGTCAGCTAGTGAACTGAAGCATGCCATATATAAACTAAGTGTATATGTTCATTTACCAGTGCTTGATATCATGAGCATCGATCCACCCAATTGGGATCGATGACATGCATCAAGCAAGTCAGCGAGCCTGACCACCCGATCCCGTCAGTCGCCTCTTACGACAAGCATAGTCGCCTTTTACGGCAAGCATGGGTTGCTGAAGACCTATTCTGCCCCGGAATCTTCACGGGTCTGAGAAGTGTGTATATAAATCAGGTTATATCCCTGCATATCGTATTATGCTTTTGAAGACAATCCAGGCTGCAATTTGATTTAATAATAGATGAAAATTGTTACCTTAGAAAGGAATGAATATTGGTATGAAAGGTGAACTGAAAGTTCTGTACAGTCCTGTTCGTTTTGTCATTGATAAACCATGAACTCGCATCAAGTCTTTGAAAGGCATTTAGAAGTGATACACATAATGAATAGAATTTATGGATGTCAACTTCTTTATCATGAGGAAGACAACGTTTCAGAGTATACAATCATATACTTACTCCGAAGTTGACGTCCATAAATTCTCTTCCTTATCCACTCACATATTAGACAACTTTCCAAAGTCACTTTACCTTCACCGATATGGTATATAATTCAAATCTGACCTCAACCGTGGTCTAGTGGTAGAGCGTCCGCCCGGAGAGGTCCAGGGTTCGATCCCCGGTCGCGTCATACCAAAAGACGTTTAAAGATGGTACTTGTTGTTACCCTGTCTGGCACTTGGCATCAAGGGGCTAAAACAAGGGCTGGTCGGCTCGGAGTCATTATACTTTGTCTGAGTTGGGTATTCATGTTAAACTGCGGCATGGTATCTCAGTGGGCTAGCACTATAAATCGGCAGCAGTCCGGACTAGTACAAACAGCCACACACACACGTGCATGCACGTCGCTATATAAGTGCAATAATCTTGGATGCGACCTTAAGCCAGATTTCACCTCACCTCACCTATTTCAAATCTGTGTTTTGCCTGCCATGGTGACTTACGTACCACTTTAAAATGACTAACTTCCATCCTCATAAGTGGCCGCGTTTTGTAATCCTCGCAAACACTACACTTAACCAAGGACAACTCTAGTGCAAGCTTAAATTCTTCAGCTTCAGCATGTGTACCAACTTCGGAACTTAACTCGGTTTTTTTTTACGTACATCTTCTCTAAACTGTATGGACTGAGACCAGACAATGTTTGGCCTTCACTCTCTGAATGTTAATACTCAAATGAACACACATAAAGTGAAAGCGAATTAATGTTTTTTTATATTCCTCTTTTGTACCTCGAAGTATGAATACACAATTATATTTTGTACATGTGACTTCATATTTACACAGGCAGACATTCAACAACCAGCTTTGTCCTTGAAAAAAGTAGTTCCTCAAAACGAGAGATGAAATGAGCGTGTATATTCTCATTGTTCTGCAGAAACCTTTTTTTGCAGTTTGTTGAGATCTACCGCAGTAAGTCACAATGACAGTACGTCGTTATACATTATTTCAAGTGCAGGACGTCAAAAGGGCCGACACGATCAACGTGAGTTTCAGTTAGCAAAGTTCCTGTGTGAATTAGGCGTTAATAATAGTTGATCAATTGGCAAATCATTCAAAGGTTGATTGGTTTGTTGTTTAAGGCCGCGCTCAGCAATATCCCAGCTATATGACGGAGGTCTGTAAATAATCGAGTCTGGACCAGACAATCCAGTGATTAATATCATGAGCATCTATCCACGCAATTGGGATCGATGTATGCATCAACCAAGTCAGCGAGCCTGACCACCCGATCCCGTTAGTCACCATTTACGGCAAGCGTGGGTTTCTGAAGACCTATTCTACCTCGGAATCTTCACGGGTCTCATGGTGTTTTTTCGACCAATTTTTCAATTTTTAGTTTGTGATTACTTGAACGTAGTTTTGAGAAAAGTGACCTCTGGCCTTGTTTTCACACTATGTAAGATAATTCTCAATATTTAAAGATGACTTGACCAAACTGTATGTTCTTAACTTGCTGCTAGATAAATGGGAATCCATTAATGAATGCGTGAATTTTTACATTTGAACTGAAGTTTGTTTACAGTGGATTCATTACATTTTTTTTGTTTACTATTTAAAAAGTTTGTTTTATTTAACCTAACCAACATTTTGACCAGAAATAATTATATTTGCAACAAAAGCATGTTTTAGAATGACATTTGTTGTGTTATCTATATAGGACTTGAAATCAATTTTTATTGGTACTAACTTGTTGTTTTACGCCGCACTCAGAAATATTCCAGCTATATGACGGCGGCCTGTAAATAATCGAGTCTGGACCAGACAATCCAGTGAATGATATCATGAGCATCGATCCACGCAATTGGGATCGATGACATGCATCAACCGAGTCAGCGAGCCTGACCACCCGCCTCAGTCGCCTTTTACGACAAGCATAGTCTCCTTTTACGGTAAGCATGGGTTGCTGAAGACCTATTCTACCCCGGAATCTTCACGGGTCTGAGAAGTGTGTATATAAATCAGGTTATATCCCAGGCTGCAATTTGATGAAATAAAAGATGAAAATTGTTACCTTAGAAAGGACCAGATAGTGGTATGAAAGCTGAACTGAAAATTATGTACAGTCCTGTTCGTTTATCATTGATAAACCATAAACTCGCATCAAGTCTTTGAAAGGCATTTAGAAGTGATATACATAATGAAGAGAATTTATGGATGTCAACTTCTTTATTATGAGGAAGACAACGTTTCGGAGTATATACCCATATACTTACTCCGAAGTTGACATCCATTTATTCTCTTCCTTATCAGCTCACATATTAGATAACTTTCCAAAGTCACTTTTCGTTCACCGATATGGTATCTAATTCAAATCTGACCTCCTCCGTGGTCCAGAGGTAGAGCGTACGCCTGGAGAGCGGAAGGTCCAGGGTTCGATCCCCGGTCGCGTCATACCAAAAGACGTTTGAAGATGGTACTTGTTGTTACCCTGTCTGGCGCTTAGCATTGAGGGGTTAAAACAAGGACTGGTCGGCTCGGAGTCAGTATACTGTGTCTAAGTTGGGTATTTATGTTAAACTGCGGCATGGTATCTCAGTGGGCTAGCACTATAAATCGGCAGCAGTCCGGACTAGTACAAGCAGCCACACACACACGTGCATGCACGTCGCTATATAAGTGCAATAATCTTGGATGCGACCTTAAGCCAGATTTCACCTCACCTCACCTATTTCAAATCTGTGTTTTGCCTGCCATGGTGACTTACGTACCACTTTAAAATGACTAACTTCCATCCTCATAAGTGGCCGCGTTTTGTAATCCTCGCAAACACTACACTTAACCAAGGACAACTCTAGTGCAAGCTTAAATTCTTCAGCTGTCTATGTGTACCAACTTCGGAACTTAACTCGGTTTTTTTTTACGTACATCTTCTCTAAACTGTATGGACCGAGACCAGGCATTGTTTGGCCTTCACTCTCCGAATGTTAATACTCAAATGAACACACATAAAGTGAAAGCGAATTAATGTTTTTTTATATTCCTCTTTTGTACCTCGAAGTATGAATACACAATTATATTTTGTACATGTGACTTCATATTTACACAGGCAGACATTCAACAACCAGCTTTGTCCTTGAAAAAAGTAGTTCCTCAAAACGAGAGATGAAATGAGCGTGTATATTCTCATTGTTCTGCAGAAACCTTTTTTTGCAGTTTGTTGAGATCTACCGCAGTAAGTCACAGTGACAGTACGTCGTTATACATTATTTCAAGTGCAGGACGTCAAAAGGGCCGACACGATCAACGTGAGTTTCAGTTAGCAAATAGTTAATAATAGTTGATCAATTTGCAAATCATTCAAAGGTTGATTGGTTTGTTGTTTAAGGCCGCGCTCAGCAATATTCCAGCTATATGACGGAGGTCTGTAAATAATCGAGTCTGGACCAGACAATCCAGTGATTAATATCATGAGCATCTATCCACGCAATTGGGATCGATGCATGCATCAACCAAGTCAGCGAGCCTGACCACCCGATCCCGTTAGTCACCATTTACGGCAAGCGTGGGTTTCTGAAGACCTATTCTACCCCGGAATCTTCACGGGTCTCATGGTGTTTTTTCGACCAATTTTTCAATTTTTAGTTTGTGATTACTTGAACGTAGTTTTGAGAAAAGTGACCTCTGACCTTGTTTTCACACTATGTAAGATAATTCTCAATATTTATAGATGACTTGACCAAACTGTATGTTCTTAACTTGCTGCTAGATAAATGGGAATCCATTAATGAATGCGTGAATTTTTACATTTGAACTGAAGTTTGTTTACAGTGGATTCATTACATTTTTTGAGTTTACTATTTAAAAAGTTTGTTTTATTTAACCTTACCAACATTCTGACCAGAAATATTAATATTTGCAACAAAAGCATGTTTTAGAATGACATTTGTTGTGTTATCTATATAGGACTTGAAATCACATTTTTATTGGTACTAATAGTGGGTATATATCAAGTTTTGCCTGACAGGCCCAGTTTTCTTTGTGCTGACCATTTAAAGACACTGTTTCTTTTATTGTGCTTTCCAAAGATAACTTTTGGTTTTGGTTTCGTTTGTTGTTTTACGCCGCACTCAGCAATATTCCAGCTATATGACGGCGGTGTGTAAAATAATCGAGTCTGGACCAGACAATCAAGGGATTGATATCATGAGCATTGATTCACGTAATTGGGATCGATAACCTGCATCAACAAAGTCAGCGAGCCTGACCACCCAATCCCGTTAGTAGCCTTTTACGACAAGCATAGTCGCCTTTTACGACAAGCATGGGTTGCTGAAGACCTATTCTACCCCGGATCTTCACGGAACAAAAGATAACTACATTTATAACAACCAATTTGTCATTTACACCAATTCTCTCCTCCCATAGCTTACACTTCCTTCCTCTATACATAACGGGGCGGTCGGGTAGCCTAGTGGTTAAAGCGTTAGCTCGTCACGCCGAAGACCCGGGTTCGATTCCCGACATGGGTACAATGTGTGAAGCCCATTTCTGGTGTCCCCCGCCGTGATATTGCTGGAATATTGCTAAAAGCGGCGTAAAACCTCACTCACTCACTCACTA